CTAAAGTTTTTTTGCGGGGACTGGAGGATTATCTACTTAATCTGATTACCCTTGAACGGCAAGTATCCTCACTGAATTTCAGAACTTTCAGTTATTCTCAGCATCTGGAAAAGGTGGAATATACAAAAGTCCTTCAATATTCATACTCATTAAGTTAACAAATATTTATGGAATTTGTACTATGTGCTAGGCACTGTTGCCCCATGAATAGGATGGACATGACCCCTGCTCTCAAGGACATCATGGTCTAGGAGGGAAGATAAACATGTATTGCAATACACGGTGTTGGCACCTGTGATTGGGGTAAGCACAGTGTTAGAGAACAGACCAGGTGGGCAATGACAGAGAGAGGATACGTGAGTTGAGACTTGAAGGACAAGGAGAGGTGAGCAGAGGGAAGACTATTTTAGAAAGAGAAAAGAGCTGAAAAAAAATTTAGAGGCATGAGAAGGGACACTGGGGAACTCCAAGAACTTGATATAACTGGTGATGGTGTGTGTGCCTTGGGGGTGTGGATGGTATTGGGAAAGGGGGGGGAAGATGTGATCAGATTATGAATGGCTTGTGTGCCATGCTGAAGGGTACATGTTAGCCTGGAGAAGCTGAGCCCCTGAAGAATATTAGACAGACATACAATGATCAGAATTGTAATTTAGAAGGAGTGCTCTACCGCATAGCACAGGGAGATCTGCTCGGTGCTTTGTGACCACCTAGAGGGGTGGGATACGGAGGGTGGGAGGGAGACGCAAGAGGGAGGAGATACTGGGATATATGTATACGTATAGCTGATTCACTTTGTTACAAAGCAGAAACTAACACAACACTGTAAAGCAATTATACTCCAATAAAGATGTTAAAAAATATAAATAAATAAATAAATAAAAGGAGTGCTCTAGCAGTGGGGGCCACTGAGAGGGCTCAGAAGATCCTCTTTCACATGTATAGAGAGTGTTTCTCTCAAGAGCTGAGCCTAGCATCTGTGAGGGTCAGAGGGGTTGGGACTATCAACCAACACCAGAACATTTACCCCTTTTTCTTCTTTCCTTCTTCTTCTTCCTCTTTTCTCTCCTTCTTCCTACCCCTTCAGCCTCCTCCTTCTCTCAAACATTCTCTTAAGAAGCTCTTAAAACTTAAACAGTTCATGGGACGTCTTTAAAAAATATCAGTGAAAACTTCCCAATTTAGTTGTAAATGTCTTCTTTTTCTCTGTGGTCGACGCTAAATTACTTACTGGTTGAATTTCCTTTCATGCATGCTCAGATCTCCTGCTTTCCCTTTGCTACCTATAATTCTTTATCACTATCCATCATCACTTTCAATGTGGTGGTGGGGCGGGGAAACAGAAATTCAAGGAAATTGATTTTACTATTGACTTGTGGTTCTTGTAGAGAGTTTATTAGTAGAATATGAAAGCTTCTGGTGACTATAATGTTTTTTAAACTGTAGGTTGTGACCCATGTGTAGGTCATGAAATCAATTTAATGGGTCATAACCTGCATTTAAAAAAAAAAAGAAACAATGGGCTTCCCTGGTGGCGCAGTGGTTGAGAGTCCGCCTGCCGACGCAGGGGACACGGGTTCGTGCCCCGGTCCGGGAAGATCCCACATTCCACGGAGCGGCTGGGCCCGTGAGCCATGGACGCTGAGCCTGCGCGTCCGGAGCCTGTGCTCCGCAACGGGAGAGGCCACAACGGTGAGAGGCCCGCGTACCGCAAAAAAACAAAAACAAAAAAAAGAAACAGGACCTAATCTAACAGAAAAGAAAATATCAGAGTGCCTTGAATATACTAAGGGTCAATACTGTTTTATGAAACTTTTGTTTCACTTATAGACATACATGTTTATTCATATAGATAGTATAAAATATGTCTTACTATGGGTGGTAATCAAAAAAGATTAAATTTTAAAAATAAAAAACCGTCAAAAAAGTTTGAAAAACACTGCCCAACATCAACTTTTTTTTCCACTCTGAAGTTCAAAAAAATTGAGAACCATAGAAGGTGACTGGCCCAAGTCCAAGAATCAGTAGCAAATGCAAAATCTGAACTCAGGTCTCCTAACAGTCAGATGTTCTTTGAACAAAAGTTGATTAATTGCCTAACATAAGGACTGGAGAGCATGGATTTCATTTACTTGGTTTATCCTTGAGACCACATTGTGAAATGATCAAATGTCATAATGCTTCCTTATCTTAGTATTTATGAGAAAACACATCATGTTGCTCTTTTACTTTGCATCATACATTGAGCACTCGACTTTGACAGATTGTCAGTTTGTGCCTTTATTATTCTTAAAAATTTTTTTTGTGGACGACTTTGATACATATTCATACTTATGTTTTGAATAATCTAGTCCTTTTTGTTTTTCAGCTGAATGGCCGAATGATTATTTTGGTACTTTCTTTCACAGTCCTTAATCATCTTTTTTTTTTTTTTTTTTTTT